CGATTTCCCCGCTTACTGTTTTCACAAGATCCTCTCTACAAGATTTCCTGGGAGGGATGAAAGGAAAAATACAAATGCTCCAAATCAAAGCTTCATAGTTTTATTCGCGGATGGTTCTAAATTAGATGAAGAGCTGATGAACTACTGAGCTGATTCGGTCAGAAGGGAGAATTTATAATTATACTCTAAAGGGAAATACCAAAAATTTGATATAACAGTGACACTCATAGCCAAAGACACTTATTCTTACTGGCTCCAATTATTAACGATATTAAAAACTTCATATTTTTGTATTTCAAATTTTTAACTAAAAATAGTTTACAAAATTTATTTATATGTTAATATATATAAACACAGTTCTTCAAGCCAGATGACAAAAATAATACAAAAATTGTTCAGAAATTAATGAGTTCACCTTCTCATATGTATGGTTATATAAATCACATAAGATATATATGTGCATACATATTTTCTGGCATAAAACTCATACTCATACAATAAATTTCTTCCAAGTAAACACAAACGCCTTTCCTATAAAATTCGTGCATGCCATTTCCGTTTCCATTTCTCTTTATAATTCTTTTTCTTAAGCTGCCATCAACCGACCCAGCCAGCTGTGTCAATGAGCCTTCATTTTCACGGCTCATTGAATTACGCATTTCATACAATGAACAGAAGGAAAGCTCACACACACACACTTATACACGCATACAATTGAAAACTCCTGTGCGAGTTCCTGTTTTTTTTTTTTTTCAATATAAATGTGCGTTAGAAAAGTCAAAGGAAATCAAAATCACGTACATGCATTTGTCGGATGAACAGTAAAAGAGTATTAAATATTCGTATGTATGTATGTGTGTGTGTGTGTATGCAAATATGTGTACTTGCGTGCATCTTTCTGCGATTAAAACATCTGCGTTGGCAATAAACTCAGAGTTGTGGGCAGAGGATTTTTAAGAAAACCGGAATTTTGTTGTTGGTAGGCAGCGTATTTTCGCTTTTACACTGTATTTACCCAAAAATATTTGCATGTTCGTACAAAGCGTGTACGTGTTTTTAGCAAGGAAGGCACACACACACACACTTTAAGAGTAGAGCAAAATTAAAATTCCTTAAAACAATGAGGATAATTAGCAAACAGCATACAGCAAGGGAGTGGATTGTAAGGCATTGCTGTAAATGGTAATAAGATTTAAATAAATTCTCAATAAAGATAGTGGATATATAAAATTCTCATTTTTGCATCTTCATCGCAAGTCCTAGCTCCCTGTGGATCCTTGGGTTACAGCTAAAAGCATAGAGACTTAGTAGAGTCGCTCCTACATTTTTGTTCGAGTCTAACCAGTTCATTGTCGCTTCACTTCATCAGAGAGGCGCCTGTGGGTAAGAGAGTCGGTCTTTAGAAAAGCTGCTCGCAAGGTTGTGTACCGCGTTTAGGATTCGCTATGTAGACACCACGTCCAATGTAAAGAAAACAAAGCCTCAAAGAGAGTTATGGTACTTCCAAATGCGATCGCTGCAAAGACCACGCTTTGAAATTACGCGCTTGAAATTTCCGGTTCCCGCATGATCTCAGGTTGAAACCACCATCGTTCCGAGAATTCCGTTGGATGGGACAAGCACGTATGATCCTTGCGGCGTCGACTAGAGCAGCCATATAAAGGACAGCAAATATGGTATCGCATGCGTGGGGCGAGAAAGACTCAATAGTCGAATCCTACCTATTAATTACTCCGCTCCATGAACGTCTAGCCACAATCACCGTAAATATAAAGTTCTTTAACAGATCGTTGACGCCAAGAGAGTCCAAAAAACGGTATCTAAGTCACAACGAAATATCCCCAAATGGGTTGAGTCTGATCGACTTCGCCGGGACCCGAAGTATTGTTGCCTGATCGTACTAGTCACCAGTTTTCTTGACGTCGACTCAACATCGGCTCATGCCAGTATATTGAGACAGCAACGATAGACACCAGACTTTGAGCAACAAAGAACGCCATTCAACACACACAAGGAAGACTCAACGTCGAAAAGCTGCCATTACAAAGGACAACAAAACAATTTTCCACTCGAATATAACCCCTGCTCTCTAGGAGCTCTCAGCAGCAACTCACTCCAAGGGAACTATGCCGACTTCATTTTAATCTTCCAGTGCACAGCTGCAAATGAAACTAATGACTTTCGACACAGCTAGTAGAAGAGATGGTACAATAAAGCTCGCGGTACAGGGGTTGCGAGAACAAAAAATGAACTTCCTACCTCACAACGTTGCGTTGGGCCTCAGCATGCGCTGTGTGGAAGAGATATCGAAAGTAGAAGAGGAAGCATTTCACACTCGTGTTATACCCAAACATTCATTCTAATGGCTAATATTTTCAGGAACCAATGAGGCAGATGAGGAAGTTACAATCTGGTGGGACCGTCGGGAGACGTAGACGATATCGACTCCATTCAGGACTACAAAGAAGAGTTCGACACATCCTAAACGCCATTCACTGGCATTTCATCAATACCTTCATGAATTCTTTTTCAGTAAACGGTATTCTCGAAATCAAAGCACCTCCTACAGCAGAGAGACCCGCATAATGCTGGCATATTTAAGATTTGGGTATTATACGGCGCATAACTCCTAATACCGACTCATTTAACCACCTTGCTCTCTGGTCGGAACCCATCGAAAGTGCTAGTCTCCAAGACCTCCCGTTAAATGGCTCAGACTAGCCTCGCCTATTTCTTAGCGTCGCTGGAGAACGGCTAGAGCAATAACAGCAAAGCTACGAATAATGATGAACAAAACTAAACTCTACAAGTCCCTCTTTATCTCCGCCCCACCATATGGTGCAGAAGCATGGACGATATAGATAATCTGCGAGAAAAGAGTTTTGCGAACGATTTGTGGTATTTTACCCAGCGACAACAGCGAATATCGCAGGCGATGGAACAATGAACTGTTTGAGTTATACGATGACAATGGCATAGATCACCGAATGAAGGCACATTTACTACACCGACTAGGTTAGTCGACCGAATGGGTGAAAACACTCCATCATTGAAAGTATTCGATGCAGTCCTGCTGGCGTCAGCAGAGGAAAAGGAAGATATCCACCCCATTGTGTGTTTCACTTGGTATTTCCAACTAGCACCAACATGAGTATAGCTGGAACGTATGGCGGGATATTGTTGATTCGGCTATCTATCGCATGAGACTACCTACGCCGTCATCGAGTATCTCGTACAGCACATCTTTTGTTTTAGTTGTTGCTGCAGCGGTTCGCCAACCTCGCTTAAGTACAGGTTTGATTAATCCAAGTCGCCGAGGTCATCTAATGGGACGTCCAGGAGCTTTTTCGACGGCCTTGGACCAAAGGAAGAGGGGGAGTTGATTTGAGAGGGCATATGCAGAGGTGTTTAGTGTCGTGCAGAGACTCTCCACATGCAGGGCATACGATATGCTGGGGTCGAGTCTGGATAAGTAGGAGTTTAACTTGCTACAATATCTAAACTTAAGTTGTGCCAAGGTCACGCGGGTCTCTCGAGGCAGCTCAAGCTCGTTGTTTTGAATCTTTGTACGCTGTACGCCGTCCTGTCTAGCAGTTGTGTATGTTTCTGAGTGGTGTTTTTAAGTCGAGTACTCCTTTTCTGATGTGTCTGCGTTAGCATCGCAATAGGAACTGCTTGCACAGCAAAGCATTATGCTCCTTAACTCATAGCATAGATGCTTTGCTGTGCAAATGATGCTCCGAACGACATCAGGAGGTTTCCTGTCGCAGTCCTGAGGGCGGTGTTCTGGCAAGTCTGTAGCTTCTTCATCTGCGTCATCTTTTCATCGTCTGCAGTACACGCTGGCACACAAACCCCATCTTTAGCTCGACAACACCGAAAACAAACTCAACGATTGTCGATGTCATCCACGCAACGGCACCACAATACTAGGACAAGAAGGTTGGGCGACTTATTTCGTTTTATCTTTTGTTTATTCAAATAGAACCTTGCTCAGCGTTGATTTCATCTCATTGAACAGATATTAATCAGCAAAATATGGTATTAGTTAATTTAGCGCCTAATTGTAGGCAACATTTAGGTTCTATTTATAGAGCATTAGGAAAATGGAAATAGGAAAACATTTTTACCAACAGGGGCACATATCGACCTAAAATGTATATCTGTTATCAAATAACCCAAACAAATATCTCTTAAATTGATTTTTATTATTATTTATTTATTTTTTCTTTGGCATGCAATTTAGCCAACAACAACCTAATAAACTAAATTGTATAGCACAACTTTGTTTGTATTTCCTTACCCCTCACACACTCCTACGCGTATGTGGAAAAAACGGAACCACAAGAATTGGCAGCATGCTTTTGAGTCTTCATTCGTAGCAATCGACAAATCCATAAACCACTCACATGCTTCCTCCTCTCATCTTCTTACGCTTCGAATGTTATGTGTGTGTGTGTGTATTTGCGAAGTACAAAAAACGAGTTGCACAATAAAAATGGGTCATTAAAATTGCAAGCTTTTTCCTTCTACTTTTCACCAACAATATCCTTATGCTTTGGTTTAAAAATTTTCCCAAGTATGGGAGCATACATATTCATGCATATGAGTATAGTAAAAAAGTAAATTTTTTCCTTCAATTTCAATATTCCCCCTTGAACACTTATAAGCTAGTAGTATAATCACGTACTGTACTTACCCGCACATACATATAACCGGGAAATATTCCAAAAAATCGACAGCGAAGGAAATGAAAAATCAGTCGGATTGTTGACTAGCATCAAAATGAATGTAGCTTAGGCAATTGGCATACAAATGCATATGTGTGTATATGTATATACGAATTTTAGTAGTTATACATAGATACATACATATGTATGTATTATATATTAGCACTTACAACGCATGCATATACACAGTATCCGTATGTTGTATGCTTTGCTTAATGGTTTTTGTTGCTTTCCATCTTTTTGGTTATTATGAAAATATGGCTATGGTATTTTTTGTTGTTTTTGTTGTTGTTATATCTACTTCAAGGCTTACAAGTGTTGCTAACTGGTATTTTTGATCACGTCCGATTTGAAAATATCTGCAAAGAGTAAAATAAAATATTTCGTTATACTTTCACAACACATACAAATGTATATATACATATATATGTATTTGCATATGTATGCAAACTCGCACGTGTACATATATAGACAGATCGCTCGAAATATGTATACGAGGAGATTAACGAAAGTTCGGTCAGTTGGTGAATTTCAATTTGTTTTTCTTAAATCTAAAAACACTCAATCCATTGCAATTACTTTATTAGTCTTCCTTTCAAATTTTAGAACGATTGGCTGAAATGGCGATGAGAAAACGCAAGATAACTGAGGAGAGGTCAAACGAAATTCCACCACCAACGCAAACAAAAATTCGCCATGTGACTCTTTTCGGGTTCCAGCGTTATTTACAGTTAATACAAATATTCAGTCAATGCCAAGTTGCATATGGAACGGTTGCACCGTTTTTAAAGAATATTTCCAAGTGATAGACTGGATAATTTTACGAGAAGGTCGACCAAAACTTCCACTGATAACGTCACTGTAGCTCTGGTGAAGTTCAAAATTGCCGAAAATCCACGATTGACACAAGGAATGATTATTAATGAATTGGGCTTGAATGCAATGGCTGTATCGCGAATATTAAGTAATCATCTGGGATGGGTACCATGAATTTTAATTGAGTCCCAATAAGAGGCTCGTTTGCTTTTTGCTCAATTTTTCCTAAACAAATTCGAAAATGCACAGTCTGGAGGCTTTAGTAAAGGCGTTGCAAGTAACGAATGGTAACGAATCCAAAAATCAAACAGCAGTCCATAGTATGGAGCCCAACAGGACAGCAAATCCATCCGTAAAATCCAAGCAACAAAAAGTAATGATGTCAGTTTACTTCACCCGATCTAAAATCGTAGCTGCTATTCCACTGGAAAAGGGTCAAATGGTAACTACAAAATGGTACACCGAAGAGTGCTTACCAAAAGTTTTAAAAAACCTGTTGGAAAACAGGAAGAAAGAGGATTTGCGGCGTTACTTTTTACATCTTGACAACGCGCCATCCCACACTGCTGAAATAACGAGCAATTTTATTGCGATCTCTGGGATCGAAGAAATACGTCCAGCACCATATTCCCCGGATATAGAACCTTGTGATTACTAGTTTTTTCTTAAAATTAAAAAAAAAATTTGAAAAGGAAAGTACTTTTATACAAACGAGGAGATAATTAATGCGGTTAATGCCGAACTTGATAAGCTGTAAAGGCAAGATTTTGAAGACAGTTTTCAGAGGTGGATCTATAGGCTTAAAAATGCGCTTATGTAGAGCATTTGAAAAAGGACAAATATTACGAATAAATACAAAAAAAAATTTCTTCGGTCAACTCACCGATCTTTTGTTAATCCCCTCGTAAATAGCTTGTTAGCTGTAAGAATAGAGAAACTTGTGCGGAAAAAAAATATTGATGCGGAAATTTATTCAATTTTCGTGTAAATTTGTGATTACCCACATAAACAGACACATACACACACACATGCATTGCATAAACAAATTTATGTAATAACGTGTTTTTGTGGGCGCAAGCTTGTGTGGGCAAATATTGAATTTTGAGTTGAATAACCTGAATATTAATTTGGTTGTGAACCTTTTACGGTTAAGTTAAATTAATAACCAGCGGCGAAAGGTTTTGATAGCATGGCAAGGCAAGACATCCGTTTGTATATTTGGCACTTTGTAACCGCTGAATCGATTTTCTTCCGAGCTCCTCCTCTATTTGGGATGTTCGTCTTAATATCGGATGGCCTCATTACAGGCGTGCTGCCCTCGAGTCGTACTAAAGCCTTTGAAATTCTGCTTAATACTAACTAACTAAATTCTACACCAATTCCGTCTTCCGTCAGTTTCAACAATACTGTCTTAACAAAAATCTGAGAGGAACGAATCGGAAAATGCGGAAGTTATGGTCATAAATCCGTAGCCATCTTTACCGACGGCTTTTAACTAAATCGCAAAGTTTTTTGTGGAGTTCTCAGTGAACTTCTTGTTATAGTATTAAGTAAAAGACTCTCCAACTACTGCAGCGTATTCTAAGCGGAAGCAACGGATATAATGGGTGCCGCTTCCTTGTTGCTCGTTTCTAATACATAAACACAACCAATTTCAATAAATTCTAACAGCTAAGCTGACATTAAGTCCCTGTAATGTAATAATACCATCTCAAATGTTTTGCACTGAAATACCGAGAGATCTTAAACAAACTCTCGACTGTATGCGAAACGTGCGAGATTTGTTTACCTAGTCATAAAGACAACCCACGGAACCGCGTATCCGACGAACTGGCCAGAAAAGGAAAATCCTAGCTGTGTACATGACGTGTACATGCCGCTTTGCTCGGCAAAGTTTGTGCTGGTGAAGGCTAGGACATAAGGGCCAACCGCAGATGGCAGAGTGACAAATCTGGCCATTACCCGAGATAAACAGATCAAAATTTCTACACCTTCTAAGCTGAACCTCCATAGGTATAAAAAAATGGATACTCTCTCGTGTGGGCCCGTAGTAGATCGGACGGTCTGTTTTTAAAACAACTGCTGCCGCAACTGTAGAGACATTGATATAGAGGAATCGGTGCAACAATGTCTCAGTCACTGCTCAGCTCTCAATGCGGTTCGGTGCAGAGCTTGCACCGGTAGGCATCATTAATATCCTGAATTTCATAAAACACGCTCAAAGTGGTTGGATTATTAAGAAAGAAATCTTCTTAGTCTCCGAACTGGTCATGGGTTTTTAGCCGGAGCCTTTATTTCATGTTAAAAGTACACTTGAAGGGCTTGGCATTCCCTGCTGATGGGCAACCGCAATTTGAAACATAAATTTTCTGTATTTTTGTATGTTGGCCGGTCTCCAAATGGCAGTTTGGAATACTCGGCTACCACGGCCGTCAGATGGCTCGATTTTATTAAAGGTGTTGTGTAGAGGTTCAATATATAACTGTATCCTAAACGCTTTTGTTTCGGGAATGCTTATTCCACAAATCTGCTTTGTATTCCGTTGATTTACAAATGTTATACTGTATGGTAACACTGTGGACATTATATTGTCTACGCCAGAACTGATGGGTCAGCCAGTACAACCTAACCTAACCTAACTGAACCTAACCTAACTTACCCTAATCTATGGTATTTTCCTAAGCTAGTCACCAAGCCAGTGATCCTTATGTTAAAGCTGGTCCTATAACGGCCGTTTACATCTAGATGAGTATATCTGATTTAAGGCCTATATATTATACTTGCTAGGCATCCTTGCAGGGATAATGAAGAGTCCACACAGGCCATCCATATATATTTTTATTTCAAAATTCATCTTCCAGTTAAGTTTAGTTTCGAAACCAAACACAGATTAATTCCTAGTCGTTTTTCACTGCTCAGGAATGTGATCTTTTCATCTCTTCCGTCGTAGAGATCATCTACATAAGTTACCATCTTCATTCCTCCACCGTTGAGTTCGATTAGTTTTGGTAGGCATACCTTTTTTTATATTTAAATGCGAGTCTTGACATTATCTTCACATCACTCCAATGACCGCCGCCTCGCGAAATTTCGCAAACTTCGAGCCTTTCCAGGTGATTTTCGGCCATTTCTCATCGCATATTGAGCGGTATCTCAGCCATAACTTGACGATGGTGGTTCGAAGTGTTCGAGAGTCCTCAAGGTATATCCGCATATGCATGATCTCTCGCGTAGCCATACAAACAAAGGTCAAAAGGTGTCAATCCGCAAGATCTCGCTGGCTAATGAACTTTGCCAAAACGAGAGATTACGAGGCTGAGAAATTTCTCTCGCAATAAAGTCATTTCAGTTCGTATATTATGCAAATCGTGCTGTTCAATTGCAGGCCAATAAAGAAAGTCGCTGTGAATTGACCACTATTGCTTTCAAAGCAGTAAGGTCCAATCACACCTCTGGACCAAGAATCGCACCAGACAGTAAATTTTCTTTTTTGTCGGGGTGTTCTCTCTTCAATTATTTAAGGATTCTCGAAACCAGAAATTTTGCTTATAAAATACGTATCCCCCGAGCGAGAAACGTGTATCGTTGCTGAGGAAAATTTTGTTTGAAAAATCGCCGTCCACTGCATATTGTTCAAGCACCCAATCGACATAGGTACGGCTTTGTGAATGGTCAGCTGGCTTCAGTTCTTGTTGTCAAGAGCAAAATACGCCATTAAGTGCAATAAGAAAGCCCGAGCTCAAGGTGAACGTCGAGAAATATACAAATTTTATTAGAAAATAAAAAACCACTCAAGTCTTTTAAATATTATTCACCACTATAATCGTATATCTTACTAAGAAGTTAAAAAAAATTTAAATTTTTTGCTGTCCCATTTCCATTCAGCTACCTTTTAGAAACTGCATAATTTACAGATTTTTTTTGGACGACAGCAACTATTTTCATTGACACTACCACTCTCACTTCCTCTTCTCATCTTTCTCTCTCCCTCTTTCTTCCACTCTCTCTGTCGCACTCACTTTTACTCACTTCGTACTTTACATTTCAGTTATTGTTCACTCATATTTAATTAGTTTTCTTTGCACTCACATCTCAGTTTTACTAGTTTTTCTAACATTTCTTTCAGTTATGCTTTTAGCTTTTTGCCTTTCAGCCAAGCACGAATTAAAAAGTCAGCTAAGGAATATGAAAGTGGTTAGAGCACGAGCACATTCATTGGCACATAAACATAACCAAAAAATGAACAAAAATTAACACTCAACACATACATATTTACCTCGAGGTGTAACATGAGCGCTTATAGTTCCTTTTTTGGTTTTCTTTTTTATGAAGCAAAGAATGCAAAAGAAAACTGAAATAAAAGTTAAATTAATGGATATTACTTGACAGTAATGTGACTGAGTATCATTTACACTTTAACACTTTGTCAAGCTCGTGAGCATACATGCTTACACCTATATGTATGTATGTAAAAATATATCTACATTTGTATTTCTTGTATATATGTCAAGTCATAATTCGAACGTATACACTTGTCTTGCCG